GTCCGAAGTGTATCTGTATTGACATGCATATTGCATCAAATGTCTCGTTAGGCTTTTTATCTTTGTGGAGTATATGTTCCCCTTTCCCTTCAGGGTATCTGTTTTCCCCTCTCCTATCTGGTATGGAAATATATAAGAGAACCGTTCCCAGTGGATGACGGTGTGTCATCTGACGAGAGTGGGATCGCACTATCTGTAGGGGTCACCCGTGACTAAGTAATATCGTGATTATAGACTATTTGTTATGACCACTATGGTTGGTATGACCGTGGTCATAGATTGTACCATGGTTTGACCAACCGAAAGTAGGCTTGAGCAAATTATCATATCTGTATCTGATCTGGTCATTCCACTTGGTAGTTGAAAATCTGTATCTATATTTGCTCTCAGAGATGGAAGTTTGTAATAACTTCGTGAAGCATGATACAAAAAATTTGTGCATTTCATTATTTATTTAATTTTATATATTATTTGGCATGATATATGTATATTTGATTTTCTGTTCTAACGTACTATTTTGATATTCAAATCAATATTTTTCCTAATGATGACTTAGGTAAACGAGGAAGCTGAATGGTAAAAAAAATAATAAACTTTTGGAATCTTACGATATTAATTTAATACTGTTTTTCTTATTGAGTATATGGAACTCACCCTTTCCATCCCCCCAGACGAGGAAGAAAGTGAAGAACTGCTGACAGATCTACCATTGGAAGTCTATGAGGATTCTGTAGATCCACAAGTTTGAGTGCATGTCTATTTTCGCACTCTGATGAATTCCAGTAGTCTAGTGAAAAAAGTGTCCCTTATGTTAAACGGTGAAGCCGAACACTGGTGGCGACTTAAGAAAGAAGTCCTGCCTATCCCTACCATATGGGAAGTTTTCATGGATGCTTTCTTTGATAACTTCTTCCCTGCTTATGTTCGAGAAAAGAAATAGGAGGAATTCTAGGACCTCCACTAAGGAAGCTTTTTCGTAGTTCAATATGCAACCCGATTTATTCAACTGTCTAGGTTTGCCCCTTTAATGGTCCCTTCCGAAAGCTAAAAAGCTAGAAAGTTTCTCAAGGGCCTTCGTGCCGACATTTATGATCGGGTCGGGATGCTAAGACCCAACTCATATACAGAGGTGCTTGAACATGCCCAGTTGACCGAAGATTTTATCTCGGTTAAACACCAAATCTTTGTTCAAGTTCGAATCCAATAACAGCCCCAACAGCTTAGAAAGAGATTGTCTGATCTAGCAAGTAACCCCTTAGACAAACAAACTAAAATTACCCTTCCTCTTGCCTTAACCTCACCTACAGCCCCACCTGCTCGAACTAACAAACCTTGTAACATTTCCAAATAATAGAACTAATGAATATTACATATGCAGCGGAATTACACATTAATACACATCCCTTGTAATAGAATAATTATTTATTTACATATATGTGAGGCATCTAAATTAATTTACAATTTTAAAATAAAAACTAATAAAGTTTTATTTACAATATTCTATTGATTTTGGACTTGCTTCTAATCTTCTCTTATCTAAAAAGAGGTAAATTGGGGTGAGCTTCATGAGCTCAATAAGAAAAAGGATTCTATAACAGATATTTACGTACACACATTCATATAAAAAATATACATAACAAAATGTACTAACTAAAATGATAAACAATCATCGTAACATCAAATACACAAGAAATCCCAAATAGAATATGAACACATAATACCAAGCAAAGCATAAAATAGAATACAAATCTTAATATAACAAAATATCAATATAAATATCCCAACGAACATTCTGACACAAAATTGATTCTGATTTTCTTCTTCTTACACATTATTCATAAATCTTATGTATAATAAATTTATACACTCATGGATTCATAGATTCTTCAAAACAAAACGAATTTACTCATACACACAAATCTCTCCACTCGGATTTCAATTTAGATTTCTCACCCATACATATCACTCCACTTGGATTTATAATTTTATACTATTTAGTCTTTTGAAGCTTATTTAGGTTACTATCACTATCAAATAAAGGCTCAAAGGATTCTCCTATCGCATGAATAATACACACACAATCTCACATTAGCCACAACAGGTATGTTTGCTAGGTGACCCATACGCTCACAAGTACCTATTCACGTCTGGATTAGGTTTACAAAGCTATCCATGTGCAGGTTCATCATACCTGCTGAACTTCAGCCATACACGCACCCTCCCATCCTCGATTCACGACTAATGAATTAAGTGTCTTATTTATTCTTCACAGTTTTCGTATTTCATTATCAAAAGTTTATCTTGTTCTTATATCTACTTGCTATACAATTTATTTCTAAATTTACTTAAATTCTCTATTTCTCGAACTATTTCGTATGCTTATTTTATTAGTAGGTAATTCCATCTATTCTCTAACTAACTTCCACTTATCTATTTCTTTGGTATTTGTTTTCCAAATCTATTCAACTTATTTAATTTCTTATTTCATAATCTAATATTTTATATTAGTTTAAGGTCCTAATTCTCACACGCAATTTAATTCACATACCTACACATAACGATACATACACACTAATCAGACATTCACACGCATCACATGTGTACACACATATATATTACAATACAGACATATACCTTCACTACATATCTCACACAAAATATATATTTATATTCACACACACATAATTTCTACTGATAGATACGCACACATCTATACTTAAACACGCATATACAATACACACAACATACTATACATAATTATTCACACACTTGTTCTTATTAGTTTTGTTCTTATCAATTCATACCCAATGCAGACACATACACCATGTACATTTACTTATACAAAACACGCACATACAATTATACATATAAATAATTACATAAATCATTTATAATTTATACACATAATATTAGTTATCCGTATAAAATTAACCCAATTCTTACCTATAGTGTGATTGAAAAAGTTTTGGGAATCATTTCTAGCTCAGTTTACAGTCCTCTCGAAAATTCGGATACCATTTGGATACATTTTTTTTGTTTATAATATATTAAATTATGAATAATTTCAGAAATTGTATAATGTGAAATGAGGAATGAGTTTTACCTTGAGACACGCAGTTCCGGTCGTCAACGTTATCACGCGCTACCACATGTGTATCACCAAAAATGCCATGCAGCGATGCTGGGATCAATGCGTATTACAGCATGCGACATACCAGCAGCAGATCTGGTCATCACGCTTTTTTTTTTCTTTCCATTCTTCTTCTTCTTCTTTCTTTCTGTCTTCTTCTTCTTCTTCTCCATTCTTTACTTCTTATTATTATTATTCTTCTTCCTTCTTATTCTTCTTCTTTTTTCCTTCATTCCTTCTTTTTCTTTTTCTTTTTCTTCTTTTTCTTCTTCTTCTTGTTCTTCTTCTCTCTCCTTGTGATTTCTCTCTCTCACTTCCTCTTCTGTCATATCTCCTTGGCTCTCTTTTTATTTTCTTAAATTTTCCTTCTATTTCATTATATACATATATACATATTATTTGTGCCAGCTGGAGCCTACCGGGTAATTTTGTGCCAGCTGGGCATTACAAAATCATTAAAAAGAAAAAAAAAATACATCATGAATTTTGAACTTCTTTCTCTCTTTTAGTTTTTTACGATAAAAAAAAAATGATTTGATTAAGCCTAGTGTGGTGGGTAAAGGAAAGATAAAAGCTTCAAGATTCTACATAGCATAAAGCATAAATCTCAAAAAAATTTAATGTCACTTTTCATGGTTTAATAAATAGTTTAAGTTCAACATGAAGGCATCAAAATGTTGGTTGACCCTACTATTATAGGAACCGGTGGTTCCCTTGTGGATGATGCAACTAACCTCTAGTGTTTTTTTAATAAAATTCTAAATTTGTTAATTCAAAGTTATAAGAAATTTAGACATTTAAGGATGCTTTTTATATTCTTATACTTCCTTTAGGTCAAGTATTTAACATAATTATTATGATAGTGACTTACAATAAGCTTTTTTTAGTAAGCATACTTTTATTGTTTCATTGAATTTATTCTCATACTTTTTTTAATAAGGAACTCGTTGAACGTATTAAACAATGTTCTTTCTCAAAAATCCAAAGAGAATAAATTTATTTTGGAAATCAACATGCAAAGTTAGAGGTCAATCGAACCTCAAATTTTTTCTTGTAGTGCTAACCTAGTGATGCATTTAATTTTGGACAATCAAACTAGACTAAAGATACTATATCTCGTTTAAAGCAAGCTACATTAGAAGCTTTTCTTTTGAGGTTCTCTTTATAAGTTTTTGTGTATCCTATCTCTCAAAATTACCACTATTAATATGAACTTTTAAATTTTACTAATTACTTTAATCATTTATAATTTAAAACATAAATAATATAAATTCTAACAAATATATATATATATATTTTTTTGAAAATATTAAAAGTATTTGGAGAGATTTGTTTGGGTTAAGGAGACATTAGAGAACCTATAAGCTACTATAACCTTCAAAATACATAATGTTAATTATAAGTTTTTCATACCCAAAAAAAAATAAATAAAATCATAATCATTCAAAAAAAATTTTTTAAAAAAATGTTTAGTTATAATTTGAACTTAGCTATATGCTTTGTAGACATTAAATTTATCAAATAATAATAATAATAATAAAGAACTTGGTGCTGATCTGATGTGAGCAAATGAATTAAGAGCAGTGTTGACTATTTGCTCATTTTGAAATTGTGAGAAGGAAATGGCGATGATACCCACCATGCTATTCAGCTTCTGCTCTCTTCTCATGGCATCCATGTTCGCTTACTCTGCATCCGTCCAGTTAAATGATCCTGGTACTTATTATTATTATTACTATTTTCTGATTCCATCACAAATTTCTTCCTATTACTGACTGGTTTATAGACTGGTACTTCTGGTTTCCTCTCTATGCTTTTGCTAGTATGGTTAATCTGCTCAACTGGAAAATCTCGTATAATATAAGAATCCGACATGTCGCCAACCTAGCTCTGCTGCTTGGAATTTTCTTATTTTTCAAAATTTTACTAGAAATTTGTTCAAGTGGAACTACCATAGCTGGCTTCTTGTCTTTAGATCTGAATCAGAGACTTGTCAGAGAGAAAACTGGAAGTGGGTTGGTTGTTATTTCAATGATTTTGCATATCAAGACATCATCACCTTCACCAAATCCTAAGCAACCAAAGTTACCGCGATTTGTTGAATATGGTGAGTGAGTAGATTTTTCAAGATTATAAGATCGTAATTTTTTGTCTGAAACTTTTTTTTATGGCTAATTTTTCTTCACAGGAATGGCAGGATTAGTTGGATTTAGCTACGGATTCCCCTTTTTCTTCTTTGCTATTCTCAAGAAGGAAATGAAGCTATGATCAAACAAACATCAAAACTTTAGGAAATTTTTAGAAATAATGCTGTTTTTTTGTAACTTGAACTGGTTTAGTAGATCAAAGAAAAATATAATTAATTCATTTGGCAAAATTGTAACCTTTCTTATTATTGCATGATCATGTTATTTTTCAAAAATCAAAATTTTAGATCAATGGAGGAACAATATTATCATTTTAATTCCATAAGATACTAAAATGGATGATTGATTCATTTAATACTATAAAGAATCATAGAAAATCTTTTGATAATACGATTTCTATTTTTTAATGACATCACACAATCAAAACAATTGGTTAAATCTCGAGAAACCATTTCATATAAGTAACAAAAAAAAAATATACAATTTATTCAAGAACAAAGAGGGAAAACTTTGGTTGAGATCACTAACAAGGGCCATTGCTCTTGCAAAAGAAGAAATGCAACTTAAACAAACCAATAATTGCAAAAAACTTCTGAACAGCAGTACCTGAAAATTTATTCTAAGCATCAGTTCTACTCATGCAGCACAAGACCGTCTACAAAACAAACCCTAAAAATTTTAGCATAATCCCCTTTCAGTAATGAAAATACTGGGGTAAATTTGGCAAACAAATTGTCAATTAAAGAACCAGGTTCCATCTTCCATCCTCAAAACAGCAATTATGAACAAGAAACATCATCTGCTACAAACACGCATGATCGGATCATTGCCAATATTGACTTCCCCGAATAATGCGGAGGCAAATCAGTAGAGATCAACTTCCTAGTTATGTTTCACAGCCTCTTGTTATTCCTTCTTTGAATTCATAGCCTGGAAACCATTTCAGAAGAAACATCACAAGTGCTGTTAAATATTTTAGCATAGGCGGCCTCGACACTTGGCAGTTCCACAGAGGCATGGATATCCTACACCAGGCAGCAAATCATACTGATAGTTCCATGTCAATTCTTCACCAATAGCAATCTGCTCAAAATAGCGGAAATAGTCAATAGATAAAAATGGGACGGCTCAATACAAGCACTACTCAAAAAATCATGCTATTTCACAAACGGATATTAAGTACCACTAGACAAATGAATGTGTGTGTGTATATATATATAAAACAAAACTTCCTCAGACAGAAAAGTCTCTAGCAGGTTATCACATAACTTTCTGTTGTTCAAGGAAATGAAATTAATCGTGTCAAAAATCCTCCAGTATTTGAAGGAAAACGCATTTGATCCCAGCATATGGAAGGTCACTTGTCATACAACATTTGAAAGAAACAGAGAGAGACTTACATCTCTACTAGCATAAAGACCAATATGAGCACGCTGACAATCCATACTCTCGACGAGAACTTGGTGATTCACAAGATTTGGCGAGCAGCTACCAACAAAACATATGCCAAAGAGTTAAATAAAATATGAAAGTTAGATGCCTTAAGCAGAGAAAAAGCTTTTATTCAAGTAATCAAAAGTATAAGCAGCAGAGACCAAACTGCTAAACTTCATGATAATAAACCCTATTTGTTACTGTAGATACAGTAAAGGAAAAAAAAGGATATGTGCACCTTAGTTCTCCTCAAGTTACTGAAAAAGAAACGGAAGTGATGTACAGTACAGATTAGTGAGGAAAGATGGAAATATAGACGATCGTCTGTTTATAGGCTATCTACAGATGCCGAAGCATAATTTGTTTAATTTATGTTGTTAATTTGAGAGAAAGGTGGTAGGAGAAAGATAGCTGAAACTTCACTCACATATAGCCGCGTGTACTTAAATGCATGTTCATCAACATAAAATAGTGATATCTGCTTTTGCTTCTAAAATATTTATGGTCATGCCACAAAACCAAATAATTGACGAATTTATTATCCTTCATGCACCACAAAATAGTAATCTGGTTTTGATTTGTTAACATGGGTGAATCCTCGCAAACTTATATAGTACACTTAACTGAGATCATGAGAAAGTATTATTCTGGTAGCATAATTTATAGCCTTCTCACCTATGATTGATGAACCTGGATACATTTCCATACGCAGTGGCATCAATAGCATATCGATCCTGTCCTTCAATAAATCTGCTCATATCATTGATATGAGCATCAATGTTGCACATATAGCTGCAACCTTGATTATACCTGAAAATCAGAAGTATAACTAATTCAAAATCTATCAGAAAAATCATCACATGCTAAAAGTGGAATCACTAGTTGAAACCTGCTCTGCCTTTTGTTTGCCTCCTGCTCATCCAGGACCTCCCCCACATATTCACAAACAAATGTGCCACGTAGGATTGCTTCACCTGCCCTGACTGCCCAACCCTGTACATCAGATTGCAGAAAGTCAATGTGTAAAACTTTTGAAAACATCAACAAACTGAAATTGTTACCTTGTGCTCAGTTTTGAATACTTCTAGTTTCACCCTTATTCCATTCTGCAAAACTCTATTCTGACAAGTCCTGTTGCAGCTGCACATCTGATTGCATTCATATACAAGGTAACCTTCCTGTTCAATTTTACAGGCATAAATCCCAATCAGAGCAGGAAATCACAAGGTTCAAGAAGTTCACACATCCACACAATCAAACAGAATAACAACCCTATCTCCAAGTCAGAGGTCAGCATATAGAATAGAAAAAGAAGGAGAAAAACTAGTCTCAGCGAAATAGTTATTTCATAGGTCATCTTCAATTATTTTTATTCTACACATTAAGGATATTATTTTAGTTGGTGTTTTCTTAATTCTAATAGAATGAAGAAAAATAATTTTATTGCACTAAGAGCATATAGTTAATATCTGTAAGCCAAGAAGATGCTCAAGGACAAAAGTATAATCATATTTGTCACTGAAAATGGAAATAGTAAACATGGTAATAAATTAATCAACCTCCAAGATAATTCGTCCTTTGTCGTCATAAGGAAACCTGCTGTGCATTGGTCTACCATACATGTCTTTAGCATCCTCATAATCATTATCAAAGAGGTAGACATGGTCACAACTTTCAGGAGAGCATGTTGAATATGGGCAGGCACAACCTAGCTGCAAACACTGCACCCAAAAGAGAGAGAGAGAGAGAGAGAACCGAAAAGAAAAGTTGTTAAGACCACTCTTTCATTATTTAAATCAAATGAATAAACAAAATATTTAGAAAAGAATATTCATAGGTTTCATCCACATGCACAATTCACGTCGAGACTTACGCCCATACACACATATGTAGGATGTAGACAAAGAGGAGAAAAGGCAAAAGACAGGATCCAAACTCACATTAAATGCCTCCGGGCCTTGTATAAGATCTCAAATGCCAATCGGTTTTAGAAAACTTATTTGAAAATCATTAAAAATTAATAAAAAATAAATCTTCTGTGCTATTAATAAATATACCCAGAGATGTGACAGGTCAGGTATGATGACTTTAACCCATCATCATCTCAAACAAACTGAACTGAACAGCATAAATACAGTCAAACATCTGTGTTTTATAATCATCTCAATATACATTGTTTCAAAGTAAATACTACTGAAAATAAAAACCCTAATTTATGGTGATCTGTGTACTCAGCAAGTTAATAGCACATAAAAAGGAACGGTTATGATAAACCACAAGATAATACCTCATTAACAAATTCTGAATGATCAAGCAATGACTTTGTAATATAGGTGAAGCTCTCCCAAGGCATTGAGCATCTAGTATTCTGCCCGTTAGAAACGTCAGGGATGGACAGGGAAGCCAAGAGAGCTTCATCTACTACACAAGCTACTGGAACCGATTCCTTCCCAAAGCTTATATCATTACACAAAATAGTTGTTTCTCCCAAAGGATTTTCTCTTAAATGAATGGAATTGATGATGATGTGGCACTCATCAACTTCCCACTCATTGGTAAGAGGAGCTTGGAACTCATTAGACTGCTGACACAATATCCCATTTGGTCGGGGTATCAAGTGAGATAGCAAACTAGGATCCTTGAAATGTTTACACCTATTAGGACATACAAATCCCTCTTGGTGCCACTGTAGTTGAATGTTTTGTTCACTGCAAAGTTTGGCTGCCTTGAGATATAACCGCTCTGGAAGTATACCATATTTACTCTCCAATGATGCTTTAAGGCTTAGCTTGCAGCAAGCAGATCGAGCAATAGATAAAATATCATGGTTATTGGGCCGAGGTTTTGTTTGCTGAACATTAGAGAACAATATTTTTGCAACTGCTGAGCATTGAGATTCAGCCAATCGGCCAAGACTCACTGCTTCAGTTGCACCAGAGGTAGACTGCATGCTCATTCCCTCTGTGCCAAGTGATTTGGAGGTCTGAATGCGTTTTATGTTTGCATTGGCCCTGTTCTTGACCCTATACGGCAATGTAGGTCCCAGACCTTTCTTAAACCTAGGACGACTAAGTCTCCCAGACTTTAACCTATAAGCATAGTAACGTATGCCCTTCTTCTGGGGACGAGAGCTCACAGAATTTGGTGCCATATGAGCAGCTTGATGGTGGCGGCCAAGGTCTGGCAGCAAATCAAATTTCAATCCACAAAATTTGCAAACGAATTTCCGGAAACCACCTAAATTCTCAGAGTTGTTGACGGCAGAAGCTGAATTTCCTGGCCCATGTTTTAGAGAAGACTCCTCAGCGGCAGAAAGATTCTGTTGTTGAGTAACTTTTGACAATCTAAATTCAACAAGATGAGCTGATAGGACATGCGACCATAACTCCTCACTATTTCCAAAATGGCTGCTGCAAGGAATACACTGGAGAAGCATGCACTGCTCAACAAATTGCACATGGTGCCTCTCCTGAACATGGGATTCCAAAATCTTTTTGTTAGTAAAAGAATCCAGGCATATGGCACAAGCATAACCTCTGAACAGCCATTGTGCCTCCTTTTTATGGTTGTCCATCCAATGAATGCCAAGTTCTTGATCATCAAAGAACTCGGTGGAGCAAACTTTGCATTTGATCTTCTCATCGTCATTGCCATCAAAGGTGGCCATTGGAATGATAGCTGATTCTTCGGCAGGAGAAGAAAGAATTTGTGCATCTTCATCAGCATTGAAGTCCCAGATGCTTCTGAGTCTCTCTTTTTCACCGCTGACCAACTTCATTAAGATTTCCCCTACACCAAATTCTTTAGAAGCTTCAGAAAGTGCCCATTGAAGCTGAACCTCCACAGGAACTGGGTTTCTTCGTGATAAGATGCTTTTAAAGAGCTTATAGAAAAGCTCACATGCTTGGTGTAGACGCAACTTCTGATCAAGTGAAAAACAATTTCTCAGAAGATCTACAAAGACTTCTTTTGAGATTATTCTACTCTTTCCATTCCGTGCACGCTTAAGCCAGCTTGGAAGGTGTTTATCACAGTATAGTGAATACCGCTTTGCACTTTCCTGACAAGAATTATGGCTATTGTCAGAGTATGAACCAATGCAGTGAACTATTTCTGTGCCATCATAGTCACCAGAGTTTTCCAGCTTCTCAATCAAGAAAGTATTGGATGCACCACCCTCCATAACCGAGAATTGATCTACTTTCAGGGGACTTTCACTATCTCCCACTAATATCTCTTTACAATAAGTGGTTTCCAAACTTGGAATAATCTCCTCGTACTTTCTTTTAGCTGTATTCTCCAGAGAATTTGCGGACAGTTCTGTATCATTCCGGGGTCGGTGTTTCTTGCAAAATGAGGAACCAGGGAGAGACCGATGCTTACACTTTGTACCAAGAACAGTAGTACCTCCGCACATTGGTGTGTCAATAAGGGGAGTCTCTTCTGTTTTTGTAGAATTGCCAATAAAACGAGAGGCCAAATGGACACAACAGTAAACATCTCCATCATTCGCGCACCTTACACACTGTCTTCCCTTAGATTCAATGAAAGCTATGCACTGACGATTTCTATTCCCAGAATCACATGATTTCTTAATAAATGCTTCATTAACAGCCGTCAATTTAACACCTTTATTCTGGGTAAGGGGATCAGAAGATTTACTAGACTCTTCATTTACTGGGATAAATTCCACATCTTTGATCCCAGATATTCCGGTTTCAACAACAATATCATCCCAGCTGTTTGTCCCACCATTTGGCGCACCTGTTTTCACATTTGCCTCCATTAAATCTGCTTCCTTATGAATCTCTTGCACTAACTGAACAATATTCGTAGTTTCTCGAAAACGAAAAAAATCTGAATCAATCTCAACGGTTATAGCTTGACGTGAACCATCACTTTCCAAATGAGTTCCATGTGCTTCTGCACGACGAACTTCAAGCTTGGGCCTCTTTGTATTAACTTGCAGACCTGGGTTTGAGAAACTATCACTGTTTTGTGGTTCCATGTCTCCGCTAGATGGAGGATGAGATGTTGAGAACCATTTCATAACTTCATGCTTCCAGGTTTTCCACTCAGAACCCAATGTTGGCTGTATAGGTGCATCCCAAAGAGACTTAACTTCATTCCACAGGATTGAATCAAACAATTCCTAAATAACCAGGGGCAATAAAGAAAACGTTAGTGAAATGATTAGCCAAACCACATTGACTCACAACATCATCAAAAGTATAAGTACACTGATTTAACAAATCTGCTCCTACCAGGAAGTAATTTCAATGTTAGCTCATTGACTAGCTAAAAATTCCAAGAAGTGATTAAGCTAGGGAGTACATGACTAACTAACCAAGGGAATAAACAAGAATGATTTGGAATTTATGTTCTACTTCATTTTTGTTTTGCAAAGAAAAAGTTATTCACAAGAGGATTAAGGGGTTGTTGCCTGTGCACAAAGCATTCAGATTATTTTCTTGAAAGTCTCTATGCCAGTAATGTACTAAAAATAAACAAATAGTCTACGTTAAATATATTAAGTTCTCACAAGTAAATATTTCTTTTATATTAGATGTTCCAAAAAATAACTATCTCGTGAAACCATATAAATAACTATCTTGTGAAACCACGCTGACCAGGTTGATTTTCATACAGTACGTATCTAGATACTGCAAGGAACTAATGAAAGGGTAGGGTCCAAATCCACATTTTGGCGTCAAGGTGAAGATGGCTAATGCTAGGGTCCTTTCCATTGTTTTTTCCCTTTTATGTCAATATTGGTAGGAGCACAGGATTCAAAAACAAATATAAAAGCCTTATAAACAAAGGTTGAGACTCATTATCTGTGGATATAACCGAAAAATTAGAGTTTTATAATATGTTGCTGTTGCCAGATCTGAAAACCAAGAAACATACAGTTTCAAATTCATTACATTTACTATTAGCTATTTGCCCCTCAATTTCCTTTCCTGACGTCTATTTTATCCAGAGCAAATAGAATTTGATATTTAGAATGTGCCAAAAAATGCTACTGGATATTCTTGAGAAGAATAAGTAGCAAACTTTAAATCAAACAGAACTTAAGAGTAATGATTCCCTTCACCCTGATTACCACACATTTTTACACCCCATCATATCAACAATACATGAATTGGCAGCCACGAATACAAGCATACCTCCTTTAGCAATTCA